GTGAGAGCAGGTGATGTTGAGCTTCGCAAGGGTCGGGGTGAGACATAGAGAGGTCTGAGCTAAGCCAGCGGGCAGAGCGGGCAGTGTGGACATGGGGAGAAGTGAAAGAGAAGAAATGGAAAGGCCTTAGATGTGGGTGTTGAGTGAGAGGAGCCCCAGTGGCCCCTAGGCTTCCTGCTTGGTGACATTGTGGACGATGATGCTTTCTGCCAAAAGATGAATGATACCAGAGTGGGAGCAGGTTGGGGCAGAGATGACAAGTTCAGTTTCAAATGTGTTGAGCCCAAGGTGCCCGTGGGATATCTGTGTGTGGGGAGGGGAATGCGTAGGGACCACACATGGATCTAGTGTTTGGAGATGGGGCCCTGAATAGAGACGGAGGTTGGGGTGTCGGGGTCACATGGATGATGATTGAAAGTTTAGGCTATGGCTGGGCATGCCTCTCATCCCAGCATTTGGGCAGGCTGAGGTGGGAGCACTTAAGCCCCAGAGTTTGAGACCAGCCTGGTCAACATAGTGAAACCCTTTTGCTAAAAACAAAGAAACAACAAAAAAACCTGGATGTGATGGTGCACGCTTGTAGTCCCAGCCACTTGGGAAGCTGAAGTGTGGACCCTCAGGAGAGGAAGCCCCTCCCTTCCCCCCCGCTCCCCGAGACGGAGTCTTGCTCTGTCACCCAGGCTGGAGTGCAGTGAGGTGATCTCAGCTCACTGCAACCTCCGTCTCCTTGGTTCAAGAGATTCTCTTCCTGAGTAGCTGGGATTATAGGTGTATGCCACCACGCCCAGCTAGTTTTTGTATTTTCAGTAGAGATGGGGTTTCTCCATGTTAGCCAGGCTGATCTTGAACTCTTGACCTCAAGTCATCTGCTTGTCTTGGCCTCCCAAAGTGCTGGGATTACAGGCATAACCCAGGAGCCAATCTAGGAGCCACTGAGCCTGGCCTCAAGAAGCCCCTTCTTAAGGAGGATGCCTTGAGCCCAAGAGTTCAAGGTTACAATGAGCTATGATTGTACCCCTGCATTCCAGTCTGGGTGACACAGAGACCCTGCCTCTTTTTTTGTTTGTTTTTTGAGACAGTTTCACTTTTGTCACCCAGGCTGGAGTGCAATGGCACAATCTCGGCTCACTGCAACCTCTGCTCCTGGGTTCAGCTGATTCTCCTGCCTCAGCCTCCTGAGTAGCTGGGATTACAGGTACCTGCCACCACGCCCAGCTAATTTTTGTATTTTTAGTAGAGATGGGGTTTCACCATGTTGGCCAGGCTGGTGTTGAACTGCAGACCTCAGGTGAGCTGCCCACCTCGGCCTCCCAAAGTGCTGGGATTACAGGAGTGAGCCACCTGGTGAGAACCTACCTCTTAAAAAAATTTAAAAAAAAAAGTAAAATTCGGCCGGACGTGGTGGCTCACGCCTGTAATCCCAGCACTTTGGGAGGCCGAGGCGGGTGGATCACGAGGTCAAGAGATCGAGACCATCCTGGTCAACATGGTGAAACCCCGACTCTACTAAAAATACAAAACATTAGCTGGGCATGGTGGCACGTGCCTGTAATCCCAGCTACTCAGGAGGCTGAGGCAGGAGAATTGCCTGAACCCAGGAGGTGGAGGTTGTGGTGAGCCGAGATCGCGCCATTGCACTCCAGCCTGGGTAACAAGAGCAAAACTCCGTCTCAAAAAAAAAAAGTAAAATTCAGGCCTAGGTGAGAGGCTGCCAAGGCAGAAGCTGCTAAGGGAGAAGGGAAGCCACCAAGGCCTGAGCCCTGGAGACAGCCCCATGCAGGAGGATGGGCAGGGGACAGACGGACTGAGCTCCCAATTGCCAGCCGTGGAGGAGTGAGCACATTCTAGGCCAGTATTTCTCAGTGTGGCTCTGCTGAGCCCCAGTCTTACAAGACATTCTGTGGTCATGCACACCTGGGAACATGGCACCGTATATTTCCCTCTGGGAGACTCAGAGTGTCCATTCTCATAGTTAAGGCTCTGAAAAGTCCCTGGGCAAGGAAACCTGCGTTTCTGTGTTTATCCCACTACTTGCTGAATATATCCGCCCTTTGAATAATGGTCATGAATGTCCTGTGCCCCATTTTTTTCTTTTTGTGTGTGTGTTCTTTTCTTTTTTCCCCCATTTGTTTTTGTTTTTTCTTGTTTGTTTTGTTTTTAATTTCTGTTGTTTTGTTTTCAAGACGGAGCAGCGTTCTGTCACCCAGGGTGGAGTGCAGTGGCGCGATCTCAGCTCACTGCAACCTCTGCCTCCCAAGTTCAACAATTCTCCTGCCTCAGCCTCCTGAGTAGCTGGGATTACATGTGCATGTCACCATGCCCAGCTAATTTTTGTATTTTTAGTAGAGACAGAGTTTCATCATCTTGGCCAGGCTGGTCTCAAACTCCCAAACTCAAGTGATCCACCCACATTGGCCTCCCTGAGTGCTGGGATTACAGGCATGAACCACCGCACCTGGCCCCCATTTGATTTTGAAGCTGTGTTCTAGATCTCATAGATGAATCTCAGAAGGTCCTTTAGCTATGGAGCTCGGCCTCCTGTTACGACGCTGAGGAAACAGTGTCTTGCAGAGGCTGAGGGCAGCGAGTGGGAGAGTGGAGGAAGTGCTGGATTCGAGGGTGGACACACCTGGTTTGAGTCCATGTGCCATCATTTACCAGGTGCACGACCTTGGGCAAATCACTTCCGTTCCCTGGGCCTCAGTTTCCTCGTTGGTAACATGGAGGAAAGAACCCTACCAATCTTATGTCTGAGTGTCCCAGGATACTGCCAGGGCTTCTCAGAAGGCTGCGGGGATTTGCCCAGGGCAGCACAACCAGAAAGCACTTCTTGTCCTCCCTGTCGCTCTGCCCTTGGTGGCCCCCTCTCCCACACAAGGACCTATCCTAGAGGCTGCCTTAGAGCTGAAACCCCAGTGAAATACAGTGGGAACCGTTGGCTTGCTTGGTGGCAGCTCAGAGGTCCCCAGGTTTGAAAGGCTCACAATGCCACCCTCTTCCCCTGCTCTGGGACCTTCCCAGTGGTGAAAAGGGAAGGCAATAGACAGAGAATGCACCCCTTTCTGTCGAGGCTAAAAGTGTCCCCCTGCAGGGGACTGTGGGGTTGGGTCTAGAGCTGTGGTTGTGTCTTTCACCACCAGACACCGTTCCACCGCTGGGCAGCCTCCCACAGCTGCACTCTGTCCACCTGCTGGCACCATCACGCACTTCTGTGGATCATTGCGGGGGCCAGGTTCTAGCCCCACGGAGCGCCTAGCTCTGTCCTTGCTTGCTAATTACCCATCATGCCAGGCCACCCAGGGGAACCCACCCCCATCCACCTTTGCAGGCCTGAGCTCTGCAAGCTGGAAAGAGGTAGCAGGCAACTTTCAGAATGAAATCTGTTTTCCTAACCCTCCCGTCACAGCCATTCAGACCCAGCACGCTGAAGCATATTTTTAGTCACTTTGCAGAATTTAAAATACACCTTGAAGGCGCCAAGAAACACCAGCTTGGGGATTAACTCTGCTCACAAGAGACAGTGGAGGGGGTGCCTCGTGCTGCGTCACCCATTGGCTATGCCATGACTCACTGTGCCCGCCAGCTTCATCAGATGCACCTGCCCATGGATGTCGGGTCTGGAGAATCGTGCAGCGGGGAGCGAGCTCCAGCCTGGCCACAGACTGGCTGCCTGTTCTGATAGGTCATGTCCATGCCCTGGGGCTTGTCTGTGAAACACGGGGAATAATTAACTGGTTTCTGAAGGTCCGTCCAGTTCTAACATTCTGTCCTCTGCACTTTGTTTGTACAGGATTTTAATTTCAATGAAAGCCCCAAACAGGTGAATGGGGGAGGGAAGGGGGGAATCGTCACAGAGCCACAGCACCTCTGAGGAGGGATGTAACCGTGATGGCAGTCAGGAACACAGAAGCTCCCCAACCACTCTCCACAGGAGGCAGAACTCCCCAAACCCGCCCCACCAAGGAGAAGTGACTGAATCCCATCCTGCCATCTGCCCCCAGATACAGAAACGGAGACCCAGAAAGAGTGGGTGTCTTGTTCAGGGTCATGTCACACACCAGGGCAGAGCTGAGTTAGGACCCAGCCTCCCGTCTGCCACTGAGGGCTTCCTACACTGGCACGCACTGGGAAGTCTGAAGCTTAGAGATGGGTCCTTCAGGAGAGAAAGGCCCCTTCTGAATATCCTGTTTCTGTTGGGCCCCAATCAGAGCCCTGGCTCCCCCTGCCAGGGGCTGCCGGCCACTCTGTGGGGCAAGGGTAGGGCCGGCTGTCCACACAGGAATGGGCCCGGGGTGGATTGGGGCTGGATCTGGGTTGTCCTGGGGAAGTGGGCGACGCAGCCCACCATGCCTGGTGGAGGTCGAGGTTCTGGGCCCTCCCTGAACTGTTCAAAGCAGGGCGTGTGAGTATGGGAGGAGCCGCCGGCTCTCCAACAGGCGCCCTTGACTTCAGCCATCGGAGACCCTTCTATCCAGTTCGCCCAAAGACGCTCAAGCCCTCAGCCCTCTCCCAGCGCCTCCGCTGGGAGTCCACGCCCGAGGCAGGGGTTGGGTGGAGAGTCCTGAGGAGGTGCTGGGAGCCGCCACCAGCACCCGGCTCCCAGCTCCGCGGCCAGAGCAAACCCTCTCCCGCTCCCTGCGGGCGTTCGCGGCCCTGAGGCCCCAGGGTGACTGCGCCCCTGTCTGCGGGAGGGGCTCTGCCGCGCGCGCCCCCGGCCCCCCACCCCCGGGCCCCCGCCCCCGGGCAGCACGTGCGGGGCGGGGCTGTGGCCAGAGCCCGGAGCTGATTGGGCGCGGGCCCGGGGGGCGGGGCCGGGCCGCAGCTGTCACAGCCTCGGCGGCCACCGCGGCGCATCGAGCTGAGCGGTGGCAGCGCCGCAGCCGGGGCCGGAGCGCAGGAGCCGACGGGGCCCGACCGGGATGGTGCAGCGGCGGCTCCGCGGCGCACGCACGCGCTGAGCGGGCCCAGGCTGGGCCCCGCGCCCCCCGCGCCCCCCGCCGCCCCGATCCCGGCCGGCATGATGTGCCTGGAGTGCGCCTCGGCGGCGGCGGGCGGCGCGGAGGAGGAGGAGGCGGACGCGGAGCGGCGGCGGCGGCGCCGGGGGGCGCAGCGCGGGGCTGGCGGTGGCGGCTGCTGCGGGGCGCGCGGCGCGGGCGGCGCTGGAGTCTCGGCCGCGGACGATGAGGTGCAGACCCTGTCGGGCAGCGTGAGGCGGGCCCCAGCCGCAGCCCCCGGCACCCCCGGCACTCCCGGCTGCGCAGCTGCTGCCAAGGGCCCGGGAGCGCAGCAGCCCAAACCGGCCAGCTTGGGCCGCGGGCGGGGGGCAGCCGCCGCCATCCTCAGCTTGGGCAACGTGCTCAACTACCTGGACAGGTACACCGTGGCAGGTGAGCGAGGGCCCCACCCCGCCCGGGGGCCAGGACCCCACCCAGCCCACCCCTGCCTTGGGGGACCCCAGAGAGCTGTCGTCCCCGGCCTCCTAGCTCCAGGCCCTACGTGAGGTCCCCACGGGCCCTCTGCTCAGGCACCACTGGGCAAGGGACGCCTCCGCGCTCATACCCACCGGGGGCCAGGGGTTGGAGGAGTCCCCACCCCGGAGCAGCCCGCGCGTCCTCTCCAGCCCTTGGCGGCCCATCCGTTGTCCTCTTCTCCAAGAGTCTCCTCTGCGTCTCTCTGCGCCCCTCCCACCCCAGCCGCAGGTTCCCGGGCCTCCTTCCCTTCCCCCAGCCCAGGCCGTCTGTCAGTCCACCGCCCGTCAGTTCCTTCCTTTCTCCGCCGCCTCCACCCCCCAGCGTGCGTGCGGCGAGTGCTCGCGCCCCTTGCGGGTGTGCGCTAGGGAGACGGGTGTGTGCGCGCGTGGCGGCCCGGTTGTGTGTGTGAGCGTGTGAGCGCGTGGCTGACAAAGGCTCTGGGCTGCGGGGAGCGGAGGGAGGGGCGGGGCGGGTCCGCGGCGCCTGGGGACCCGGGATGCGGTTTGCAGCTGGCCGGGTACACAGGCCTGAAGACGCCTCTCCCTGTTCTATAGCACTTGGGACGCAGGGTAGGGCGCAGGCCTCTGGAACCAGAGACCCAGAGCCTCATCCTCAGGGAGCATCTCTGGGAAACAGCCTTGGGGACGGGATTGGGGTCGGGATTGGATTCTAGTCCCAGATTTGCTCCTAATGTGCTTGCTGTGTGACCTTGGGCCAGTCTCAGCGTGTGTTTAGGTCTCTTTGCCCATTTGTGAGTTGATTGATCCTTGGGCTTTTGGGGGGATGCACGTGATTCTGGAATTTCCTTCTGCTGGCTCCCCTCCCCAGCTCTTAGGGGTGGGTCTAGGGGTAGGAATTTGCCGTAGACTAAGCTGCTACTGGTTGGGAATGGTGGCACCTTGAGAGGGAAGGACTCTGGCTAGACTGGCATAGGTAGGGGCTCACTGCAGGAGGAGAGCAGCACAGTGTGCCTGGCATGCTGGCCCAGAACCTGCCTAACTATAGCTTAGTGAAATCTGGAGCTACCAAATACACAACAGAGAGAGAGAGAGAGAGGAGAGAGAGGAGGAGAGAGAGAGAAGGATTTATTTTTTACAGACTCTAAAGAGAAGTTTGTGGCAGTTGAGAGAAGAGAGCCTTGGCATAAACCACACGCCACCTGGTGCCCTTCTCCGGGCCTCAGTCTCCCTCTCTGTTGAATGGAGTTTTGTGTCAAGTGGAAGGGAGGAATTCCGATGGGAGAGCGGAGGCTTCCCCTCCCCCTATTGCTGCTTTCAAAACCCCTTGGCTCTCTGTCCTTCCACCGGAGGAAGTTGGAAGTGGGTACTGGTGATATGGTTTCTGGGTGGAGCTGTCCCAAAGAGACACTTACTCTGGTCTAGAGAACAGGAATATTGAGCCAACCCCCATTTTCCATGCACCATGCTGCCAGGACTTGGGAACTTAAGTGCCACCCTTTGGGGGAGAAATCAGAGACTACCTGGGACCTGGAGTCAGTTCAAAAAAGGCTTCTGGACATAGATAGGGAGACCAAGGTCCCTGTACACCCTTGTCCAAGATGGCCAAAGTGACTGGCAAAGCTGTGTTACATCTAATAGCAGTGGGTCTGCCTGGGAAGAGGTCCTCTCCCTCTTTCTCAGCTGAAGAATGAATGGTAGGCACTACTTCTGGCACTGTAACGCTTTCCAACTTTATTTTTCTGGCCCCAGACCACCCCCTCTGACATTCTTAGGGGAATTGCCTCTGTCAGGGGCAGAGCCTGAGAGGGTGGCATCAGGGAGGGCTGGCGCTTATCTGCCCACACCTCTACTTGGGTCTCAGAGTCAGACTGTCAGAATGGGGGAATGAGATAGGAAATTTCTGGTGAATAGGGAGGGGAGGTGGGGAGTGGTGGCTAGGAGGGCTGTGGGGCGGTTAGGGAGGAAGGCCCGGAAAACCCTGTGCAAACACCGGCCTGGGCTGTGCCTCCCTCCCTCTCCTGGCCTGGGATGGGAGCTCCCACACCACCCCACCCTCAACACACAGCAGACAGATTTCCTTTCCGGATGAGCCTGGTTGCCCCTCTCTTATTGGCAGATTTCCCCATCTCCACTTCCCCAAGTTCAGTTTTTAGGATTATTTGTTGTCTCTATGGTAACTGCCATGGCTTGATGTGCTAGGGGCCAGGGAGTGCGCATCCCAGGCCCGAGTCCACCTGTTGCTGGCTGGCCCAGCTGGGACGGAGGTGGGGATGCAGGCGCTGCCCTGCTCCATGTTTGATGTTCGCACCTACCTGGCCCCAGCTCCCCACCAAAGAGTGACGGGAGGACCCACGCTCCTTCTTTAATCTTTAAATGTGTTTGTTCATGGTATAGATCAGCTTTGTCCAAAGGGCATGTAATGTAAACCACATATTCGTTTCAAATTTTCTGGTAGCCGGATTAAAATAGTGCAAGAAATAGGTATGATTAATTCATATTTTATTTAACTCACTATATCCAATATATTTCAACATGTAATCAATATAAAAGTTGTTAGGGCTGGGACGGTGGCTCACGCCTGTAACCCCAGAACTTTGGGAGGCCGAGGAGGGTGGATCACTTGAGGTCAGGAGTTTGAGACCAGCTTGGCCAACATGGTGAAACCTCATCTCTACTAAAAATACAAAAATTAGCCGGTCATGGTGGCATGCGCATGTAATCCTTTAGCTGGCTTTATCCTTCCTCACAGTATTTATCACCAACTGATATATATATTTCTGTCAGCCCCACTAAAATATCAGTTCAGTGGCCGGGTGCAGTGGCTCACGCCTTTAATCCCAGCACTTTGGGAGGCCGAGGCGGGCAGATCGCCTGAGGTTGGAAGTTCGAGACCAGCCTGGTCAACATGGCGAAACCCCGTCTCTACTAAAGTAAATACAAAAATTAGCTGAGTGTGGTGGCACATGCCTGTAGTCTCAGCTACTCAGGAGGTTGAGGCAGGAGAATCACTTGAGCCCATGAGGTAGAGGCTGCAGTGAGCCAAGATTGCACCACTGCACTCCAGCCTGGGCTGCAGAGTGAGATTCGCTCTCAAAAAAGAGAAAAGAAAAATGAATAAAAATAAATATGAAGTTGTTAATGGGATAGTTTGCTTTCATTTTCATACAAAGTCTTTGAAACCCAGTGTGCGTGTTTTCCATTCACAGCACACGTCCATGTCATGGTGGCCGGCGGCTACCAGAGTGGACAGTGCAGGTCCAGAGTCTTTGCTGCCAGAGATCGAGGCAAGGGTCTTTGGCTTCCCAGCTGTGTGACCTTGAAGACATCACCTGAGCCTTCTGTGTGATCATTCCCCTCCCGCCTGCCTCTTGGGTTGTGTGGGATAAATGAGCCTGTATCTTCAGCACCTGGGATGGGGCCAGATTCCTAGGAGGGCTTCACGAGCATCAGCTGCCTTCTCGTTCATGCCTCTGCTCAAGCGGGGCCCCTGGCCACGAAGCCCTTCCTGGTTTTTTTTTTGTGGTTGTTCTGTTTATGACAGTCCTTTCTCAGGACACCTTTGCGAGCCCCTCCCTTCTCCACAGGGCTGGTCTCCATCCTGGGAACTCCAGTAGCTTGTGCCGCTGCGAGAGCATTCCCAGCGCCACCCAACCGGTGACCCTGCTAATTACAGCCTCTCCTCCGCCCCATGAGAACCCCCTGAGGGCAGCAGGCCTCGGAGCGGGTGAGGAGGGCCAGGCTCCTGTGCTTCTCTTCTTATTGAGCGCTGCTTCCATTGGATGAAATCGAGGTAGCCCAGAAACCTCCTCTAAGTCCTTCCTTCCACCTCCTTGTGCAGATGGGAACGCGGCCGTTCAGAGAACAAAGACACTTCCCCAAGGTCACATGTGGGGCGGAGCAGGCCACGCCAGCCAGTGCGGCCTCCTCTGCAGCCCCAGGAGCCCCGGTGGAGGTAGGGGCATGCCCCTTGCTTCTGGCCTGGGAACGCAGCTCTGCCGACTCAGGCCAGAGCCCTTTGGGCAGGTGAATTTCAGTTTAATTGAGCCAAGGCAGTTTGAGGTCCCCTAGGCTCCTGTTCCCACAGCCCCTACCAGCCTAGCAGCCATGCACTCCGCATTCAGAGCCCACGCTTGGCTGCCAGGTCAGGAGAAGGAGGGAGTTCCTCAGGCGGGGGGCTCACAGCCCCTCTAACCAGCTCTGCCCCCCTCTGTAAAACAGAAGCAGAACTGCGGGTGTAGGTGGCAATATTTTGCTCCTGGAACAGACCCCACAAGATGGAGCCGGCCCCAGCCTTGTTCATGGTTGGTGAGTGACTACTTGGGAACTGAGATCCTTCCCCAACTTCTCTGGGGTACCTGCTCTCCTTCTGAGACCTATTTATTTTTTTTCCCTTCCATCCAGCCCATGGCAGCCTGGGCACTGGGAGCTGGGCAGAGTGGGGGCTGTTGAGGAAAGGCAGAGCCCTTCCCTGGGGGAGTCGTTTTCTGCCAAAGAAGCTGAGACTCGTATCCATGGCAACTGCTCACTAACACAAACCCAGAAGGAGCGAAGAGCATGGGACCCAGCTGGGAGCATAAGCTGGGAGGGACTGGGGGGCTTCCCCAGAGCCACTGAGCTGGGTGCGGCGGTGGGGGGGTGCCAGGCTGGGGCTCACTCTCCTATTGGCCCATTTTGTGGTCTGTCCTGTTAAGTCTATCCAGAATTAATAGATGGGGAAACTGAGGCCCCAGGGCTTTTACAGCACCACCTGGGTGGATAGGGGCTAACGCAGGCCCTGCCTTGCGGCTCTCTTTTTAGATAAGGATGGCTGCCTTGAGGATATGCAGTGCCCCTGCCTTGCCCTCTTAGGTGGCCTGTCCTGGCCACCACATCTGCACTGTGGGAAACTGCAGCTGAGGCCTGAGGGGCAGGGCATCCAGAGTGCCTGGTTGGCAGGGCCAGCAACCAGGTGGAGCG